TAGTAAGATAGTGTGTGTGTGTGTGTGTGTGTGTGTGTGTAAACCCTGCAAAACTATTTCTATATCCATAACAGGTGTGCCTTTCTTTACACAAAAGCATTATTGAAAAACTTTGTAAATCAGATTCTGTTTTAAATGCCTTAAGGGAGCTATTTAGAAGGAACCCTGCAGTGAATCTTTTGGTAAAGCAAATAATCCCTTTGTAATGGGAATAATTTCTCCCAATGTATTGTTTTTTTTTTTTTAAATCCCATTTTCATATATCTGCTTTTCTTCAAAGGGGGCCATACCAATCTAAATACAACTGCATTTGCATATTGATTTTAGCAGCAATCCTCTAGGGATGTTTAACCCTAAAATTCCTTGCAATGGTGTTCGTGCTCTCCTGCTCACATTTTAAGTCATTAGAGTTAAAACCAGAGATTTCCAAGTAAAAGTAAAACAAGAACATTATTCCCCCTATAGCCGTGTTCTGTGCCCACATGCAAACTGAACACACATGTGTATACACACGTGTGCATGCGCAAAGAAGCAGCATAAAATTTTCTAAATTCTGATGATACGCCTCAGCAGTCTCCTATTTTCTTTCCCTAATTTGCTCTCCTAGAGTCTGACAGATTGAGGGCCAAGCATCTGGGTCAGCTGGGCCAAATGGGGAAAAGCTTCTCAGGTGTATTCTGATGCCAGCTTCCGGGCAGCCAAAAGCTCAGGCCCACTCTAACCAAGTGCCCGCCAGGAATCCTGTTTCCTGGAGGGAGGCAAGCCCTGCTGCTTCTATAAATACAATCAGATTAATGGATCAGACTAAAATGACTCCATTTTCTTCCCCAAAAATGTCACCATTGCACTCCAACTGCATCAAGCTGAATAGCTTCTGAATCAGTGTGATGAGGCAAGTTTCAAGAGGCTAATGACTTATGGGCGAAGGCAAGATCCAATAATATCTACCTCCATGACATACAACATATGCTGTTTCTCATCAGCCTGCCTACCATAGAGCCCAGTGCTTGGTGGCCACCCTGCCAGTGAGGGACGCTCTGTGTGTAAGGGGAGAGATGCATCTTCCTAAGGATGGGTACTAGAATGTCTGTCTTTCCCAGCCTCAACTTTCCAGGCAAGGTGACACCACCTTCTCCCTCCAACAAGCGACTTTGGCTCTTTTCAGCTTGAAGAGGGACACAAAAGAGATGGACAAACACAGAGAGCTCAGATACTCTGGATCACTTCTGTCAGAAAGCCGTTTAACCCAAGTCCCCTTAACCCAAGGAACAGTCCACTTCCCGTCATGCTGACTGCTAAAGAAGAGGCTTGGGGCACTTTGGGCCAGAAGGCAGGCCGGGTGCTGAGGAGGGCGGGGAGGACCAGTCGAGGTCTGCTGCAGCTCAGCCAGTGCTGCACTCCCGAGGCACGCTTCATGAGGGCACAGCCAGGATGCGGCGTGACAGGCGCCTGGGAATAGGGCCGCCACTGAGACGTGTCTGCCCTGAGCAGAATAAAGTTCCACTAGGTGACTCCTTTGCCCAGGTGCTGTCTGGATTGAGAGGGACAATTTGGAATTTACAGTTGCTTCATACTTGGGCTGGACAGTCCTCTATCTAAATTGATTTATCATTTTCCTCTGAACAGGAGAGGACCTGAGATTACAGTATTCAAGAGCCCTGCTCCTTGGCTGCTCTCTATGCTTCAGGCTCTGAGAGGAGGTAGAAGGGCGTCAGAGAGGCACCAAGAGGCCTTGCAGAACTGGGACTCATTTCCAGAAAGGGAGCCAATTTCCTTAGGGCAAACACACTGGTAGGACATAATCCTCTCCGCACTGATTCTACAAGGCCTCAGTTCTGAGAATCCATGATCAGAGCTGGTCCAGCCTTGTAAGACTCTGGAATCTGGGCCAAGTTCACTTTTCCTTCTGGGGTAATTCTCCTTTTTATCTCTATTAGGAATCAATACATACACTATTTTTATACTCTGTCATCACAGAACTGCAAACTAGTAATTCACTGTCTTCCTACCCAAATTAACCATGTACCTGGCAAAAGAAAACATCAAAATTCTAAAAAGGAGATGAAGTTAGCTGTTCAGAAATTAGATATTCCTCCTTACCCTGAGAAACCGAATAGAAATTAGGATTTTGAACCCAGTGAGTGTGTTACCATTAGTTTGTCTCAGTGATCTGTGAGTGTGCTCCCCAGTGTACAGGCTGCTTTGGGAAGAGATCCATTACTATAGGTTTCTCCTAACTCCGACTTTTCTCAGTGGAACTGACTTCACATCACAAACAGAAAGGTTTCTTGTGTAATTTAGATCAGACCCAGCATTCAGCCAAGGTGAAATCTGAGCAAAAGTGGAACGGGGGCAGCAGAAGTCCATCCTGAGCTCTGACTGTCCATTTATTTTGTATCTTGGATGATTCCTTTAAAACATGCCCCCCCCTTTTTTTTGCCTCAAAATTCTCCTGTCTAGAAATTGAACTGGTTTCTACCTATTTTGTGAAAAAACATTTTGCCAGGCTCTGATTCTAAGCATTGTGAAAAGAAGCCCAAAGTGACACTCTTTGGGTTTTGTTACAAACTGTGAACCTGTGATCTGTTGTTACAATTGTGACTGGGTGTGTATGCTCTCCCTGAAAGACTGGACCACTTCTTCTGTTTTGTATTTCTTTTCCTATGTTGCTTTATCCAGCAGTGGGGCTAAGCCTCAGCCAATGCACAATACCAAAAATGGCCATCTGCTTCTAATGATTAAGACTGTAAGGAAATGATGACAATCCTCCTGTTTGAAAAATGCTTCACAAATTCAAAGCAAATGCATATTTATCTGATCCTCACATCGGCTCTGGTGGAGTGTTAGCTCCACTTTATAGATAAAGAAACTGAAGTTCAGAGAAGTTAAATAATTTACCTGTAAGCAACATAACCAAGACTTTGACGTCATTATTGTTTTCCCAGATCTACTGCTCTTGCTCCCAAAGTGCCTTGGCCCAGAGCCTGCTTCGCATTTAGCAGACTAAGGATTCTTTCTCTAGTGCCATTTTGGTCGAGGTTAAATAAATATGGTTTTCTTCAATGTGGATAGGAAATTGATAATGAGATGATTTGTAACAAATGATTAAACGGCCATCACTTGGGAATCTCCTCCCTCTCTCTCTCCTGTGCTTCAAAAGTTAAAAGGTGCTGGGTGAAGGTGAGAGCACTATCACTTTCCTTCAAGAGAAAGAGGCTTCAGCCCCACACCCCCCATCATCTAGTCACTGTGCAAACACATGTCAGGGAGGATCCCTCTTCCTACCACCCAGTAACTCTGAAGGGATGATAACAGCCATTGGGGGGTTAAAAAGAGGCAGTGAACCCCCAGTTAATGAGTAGGAATTCAGCAGGCAGGGTAAGATAAATGGAGCTCTCTCTGCTTCTGCTAGAGTCAGCATGAACTGCGGCCCTGCGGCTTGTTTGTGGCAAATGGAGTGCGCGAAATATCAAAGGGCAGTGATCCAGAAGAAGACCGACTTTGACAAATTTTAAATTGGCCAGAAAGAAAACCAGCAGAAAAAAAAGAAAAAAGAAAATTATGCAATTCACTGTGTCCTGCAATTGTGGTGTTGCTGCCTTTGTATGGAATTAGTGGCACAAACTGGCAGGAATAGCTGGATGCTGGGAGCAATTATGAGCCGTCTAAGAGAGATGCTTATCAGTAGCTGAAGCTTTTAGAGCTCTCTCGATGTAGTTGTAAGTAACTTGCTCTTGAGCTGCAGTTACTTTAATTAAAGTGTATGGGGTTGGTCAGAAGTAATTATCCTGTTTGGAGAAGAAAGAGAAAAAAACTACCTCAACAATTCTGGGTGGCAATAGATTTTAGAAACAACACTCCTATTTCTTGTTGCATGTGTGCATTCCCTATAAAAGGACCAGCCTGTGGTTGGTCAGAGTGACCGGTGGTTGTTATCTACTGGCAAACAACAGGACACAAACAGGGTGCACTGTAATCCAAGTCCTCCTGTATGGCAGGCAACCTAGGTCAGGAACCCAGATGCCTGGATATGCCATCTCTAGGGTATGGGCATCACTCAAGTTTTTCATGTCTCTAAATGGTAAGAATATAAAGAGTTCACAAATAGTACTTTACTAATTAAATTACTATTTGGAATGTAAATGAGCTAGCATATCTCTTTTTACTCCTTCCATTCATTGAGTTTCACTACTTCTTAAAGACAATTTCTTTAAACAAAAACAAAAAAACAAACAAAAAAACCTCAGCAGGTATCAGCAACAACAACATAGCAAGGGGATCAACCTGGGCAGAAAATCAGTGTTTTAAATGAATGCAGTCTGAAGCTCACTCAGTCTACAGACTCAACTCAACACAGGGCTCCCACAGTTTTCTCTCACATTTAAACTGCAAGTGCCTTCCCAAAGCTCCCTAAACAAATGAGCAATAGTGTAAGGGCAGGAAGCATCAGGCAGGAAAGCTCCCGGAGCTATAGCGCTGCTACAGTCTCTTTGGAGGCACACAGCACACAGTCTTTCCCTCCCATTTCTCCGGCGCAGGATGAACCCGGAGCACTGCCTGAGTAGGGCTCCAGCTTCTCTATCCTGTGACACTGACGCTCACATCCCTCACCCAAGACTGGCTGTCCAAAAGGACACGCAGGAGGAGGGCACATTTAAGTCTAGCCTATTCTCTGCCTGATTAGGCTGCCCCCAACAGCAACTTCTAGCTAATCATTCTCTACAAAGGACATCCACAAGCCTTGAAAGATGGGCTATTTCAACTATAAGGAAATATCAGAAGAAAAATCAGGTGACTTTTGCTTTTTTTAGGGCCCACCTTCCCTCCTATTACACACACTATTTTATTCTACCAGGATTCTTAACATACAGAGGACAGTAAATAAAGATGATCATGAATTTGATCAAATGCTTCAGTGCCTCCTCCCCTGGCCTATGAATGCACTCATTACAAATCAGCTGAATGGCTCATTGATTTGCCAGGAGGACAAGCAGACATACCCAATCGCTCAGCCAAGTGGATGTAGACTGGGTCCACCCGACGCATGGTTTTCACCAAATCCTTTTTGCGGAATTTGATTTCTACTGTCCCTTCTGGCTCCAGAACCGATCCCCTAGATCAGAAAGAAAACAAAATAGAAATAGAGGCACTTTAAAGGAAGGAGACAACAAAATGAAGCCAGTTACAATTTGTGGACTAGGAAATAGATGGCATTATGATTTTGCCCATCCACGTTCACCAAAGTAACCTGAAGAAGAGAAGCAGGCACCAGAGAGGCATCCATGTGAGGTATGAGAAAGGCCTGACAAAAAGCAATTAAAACAATTTTCAGTACCACACCCGCTACTTCCATCTCAAAGGGAGAAGAATATAGATTCCCCAGCCAAGCTGATTAAGGTGACAGGAATCACATTACTTCCCATGGTGGATAGGGGTAGGGTGGGGAATGATACAGGCACAGTGGCAGGGAACAACCTCCAGTGCTTAAACTGTGCAATAAGGAGTCAAAGCCGATCCATCAGTCCCACACCGCAACCACAGCTGTCAGTCTGCTGGCAGGACTCTGATCAGACAGACACAGCAGACAAGGTGCAGGTAGAACATTCTGGCTTCTGTTATGGAAATATCAAAGTGAAATGTGTATAGGTGTTACTTCTAGTGAGTGACACCATTAATGATCTTCTACTACTAGGAACTTTGCCCCAAACACGTATCTTAAATTTAAAAAAAAATTTAATTATAGCTAATGCTTAATAATATGTACATGCCCTATTCTAAGGCCTTACATATAAATCCTCACAACAATCCTGTAAGATAAGGTACTATCATTACCCTCATTTTACAGATGAGGAAACAGGTACAGGAAGTTAGATAAGCCTAAGTGGCAGAGCTGGATTTGAAACCAGCCTGGTTCCAAAGTCTGCAGGGGAACTGTCTCTGATCTTACGTCAGATCAATGCTACGTTATTCTCGAGTTAACCAGCAGGTGTCAAGTCAATACCAAGTCCGTATGTCAGAGCAGATGGTGCTCCGCAGGGTTCAATGCTGAGTGTGGGAAGTGGGTTGCCAGGCCTTTTTTCTGGCCTCTGGGTGGACTCAAGTCTCCAGCGTTTCAGTGAGCAGCTGAGCACATTAACCTTCTGCACTGCACAGGAACTTCCAAGGCTGGGTTAGGACTTAGAAAAAACAAATTCCAGTGTATAGAACACAAGCCCAGTGACTGATAGCAAACTACTGGACTCTCCTAAGCAGCTTTGGGAGTGAGTGGAAGGCTGAGTTTTTTGGAAAAAGAGAGAAGCAAATGATTGGATACAAGAATAGCATGGGAAATGTCACAGAAATATGCTGTGACGTTTATCTACTTAAAGGGTTGAGAAGACATTATGAAAGGACACTGGACTTGACTGGTTTTACTTAAGTATTTTCCACTTCCAACAAGCTCAGGATTCTCCTTCTGGTTCTTTGGGGACTTGAACCACTGCGCTTGCTTCCTGCCGTGTGTACCGGAGTGAGACACTGGACTCCCAGGGCAGGGAGCAGCCTTGGTTTGGAGTCACAGACTGGTGGACTGTGTGACACCTTAATGACCATCCAGGTCATTTTACGGACAACCAGAGGCAGCCCAGGGAGAGTCAGGGATTGCTCAAAGTTTCCTGCTAGTTAGTGGCAGAGCTTGGTAAAGAAACCTTTGTTACAGCTCCAGCTTTAATAATGCAGTCCTTTTACTCCAACTACTTTCAGCTCCCTTTGCCACATCCCCAAGAAAGAGACAGTGAATATCTCAAAAACAAGAAAGAGGGGGAGAACCTCTTTGAATTTAGAGGTGTTGGGAGAGAGAACTTCGTGGTAAAAGAATCTAGGTTGGGGGACCACCCTGAGAAAGCCTGGCTCCAGCCTGCTTTCCTTCTCGTGCCAGTAGACACTCTTTAGAAAGCCTCTTTTCTTGACCTTGGAATCCTCTGGGAATGGGCAGACTCAAATTAAGTTCTCTTGGTTATAATGTTTCCAGGAGGAAACTAACAGTGAGGTCATCTCTGGAGGCAGTAAACGGAAACAGAGAAGAAGCACTACCTGCTCTCTCGGTCAGCGTACATCTCCATGTGCCGGGGGTTGATGGTGGAGTCAATCACAACCCAGGAGCCGCCCCGCAGCTCGGCCTGGGGAGGAATGTAAACCAGTACAGGCTGGGAGCACTCGCGTAAACTGTCCACGATGTAAGCACCGAACTTCAGCACTTGGTCGTACATATCTACAGAGAATGATACAATTAGAAGTCATGGAACTGGTCCTTCCTAAAGTAGTGCCTCTAAACATCATGGTACACAGAAAACAATATTGGTATGGCACACTGCCTCCATGAGGAGACTGCTCATGGCCACAGTGGCTCCAACCACTTCAGGTCCTGGTTTGCACCCTGAAGACTAAAGGAATTCCACCTGTATTCCATTCTGCATGCCAGAGGATATTCAAAAGCACAAGGGAGCAAAAGAGAAATGTACTGTCTTTCACAAGATACAGGGTGCAATCCTTATCCCAGGGAAGAAGCCTTCCAGATTACGTATCCATTTTATATTGTTCCCGAATTTCTGTACTCAGGTTTCACCACATTAATTCACACTTGCTCTACAAACGTTGAGTATTTTTCATGTCAATATGTGATCTCTCCCACTACATTAAGTTTTCTGACAGAAGGAACTATTCTAGCTCTTTTCAATTTCTCTCATGATACTTAGCATATGATGAGCTCTTAAAATGTGCCGCTAATGGAAATGAATCCTTCAAAAACTTTATCTTGAGAAACTACCTTTCATCTTTGTATCCCCAGTGTTCTGCCCAGTGCCTGGAACATAGTTAGTGCTCAGTAAGTGTCTGCTGAATGAATAAATAAACACATATGGATGTTGGAAATAAAATAATTGAAAGAAAAACAAGTTAATTGTTTAACAGTTGCATTTTATCAGGGTATCAATGACAGAAAATAAAAAAATGTATTTATTGCAAATATCATAGAGCCACATAAAGAGAAGGGCTATGTCTTCATTCTGAGAAAGGATACAGTTTAGACTCTCCCAAATGGCAGGAGTAGCAAGAAAAAGGACCCCTGATACATAAATAAAGTTGTGTCCTTGAAAAAGCAGGATCGTTTATTTTCTGACATTTTATGGAGTTCTTCCCAATTCCCAGCTCAGTGAAGTCTAAACATTGGTAAAGCTTAAGGCAGTGTTTCCAGATGTATAATGACTACTTTAGTGGAACCATAATGGATGATCCTTTCTAAACAATGAATAATAGGTTCAACTGAGTTCAAGTTTTCCTATCAAAGATGGGATCTCAATTTGGAATATATCAATTCTGGAAATCCAAAGCAAAGATACATTTTTCAGGAAGTTAAGGGCAATGAGTTGTTGTTAGGTGCCATCAAGTCAGTTGTGACTCAGAGTGACCCCATGTAAAACAGAACGAAACCCTGCATGGCCTGCCCGACACTCCTAATCACTGCTGTGTCTGAGCCCATCATCGCAGCCACTGTGTTAGTTGGGACTCAGAGTGACCCCATGTAAAACAGAACGAAACCCTGCATATGGCCTGCCCGACACTCCTAGTCACTGCTGTGTCTGAGCCCATCATCACAGCCACTGTGTCAGTTCACCTGTTGAGGGTCTTCCTCTTTTTTTGCTGACCCCCCCCTTTTTTTTTTTTTTTTTTAAAACCAAGAACGGTCTTTCCTTCTCTAAGAACTGGTCCCTCCTCATAACATATCCAAAATGTATGAGACAAAATCTCACCATCCTCACTTCCAAGGAACATTCTGGCTGTACTTCTTGCAAGACAGATTTGTTCATTCTTCTGGCAGTTCATGGTGTATGTAATATTCTTCACCAACACCATAATTTAAAGGGATCAGTTTGTCTACAGTCTTATTTTTCACATGCATTATGAAGTGACTGAAAACACCATGGTTGGGTCAGTGGCACCTTAGTCCTCAAACTGACATCTTTGCTCTTTAACCCTTTAAAGAGGTCTTTTCGGCAGTTTTGCCTAATGCAGAGTTGTTTGATTTCTTAACTGCTGCTTCCGTGGGCACTGGTTGTAGATCCGAGTAAAATGAAATCTTTCACAACTTCAGAATTTATCCTGATGCTGCCTATTGGTCCAGTTGTGAGGGTTTTTTTTTTTTTTTTGATGTTGAGGTGTAGTCCATACTGAAGGCTGGACTCTCTGATCTTCATCAGTAAATGCAAGTCTTCTTCACTCTCAGCAAGGCACAAGCTGTTGGGTCTTCCTCTATTTCCAATGCCACGTTCTTCTTCATATAGTCCAGCTTCTCAGATTACTTGCTCAGCATACAGAATGAGTAAGTATGGTGAAAGGATACAACCCTGATGTACATCCTTCTTGATTTTAAACTATACCGTATCCTCTTGTTCTGTTCAAATGACTGCCTCTTGGTCTATGAACAGGTTCTTCACAGTACAATTAACTTTTCTGGAATTCCCATTCCTCACAATGTTATCCAAAATTTGTTATGATCCACACAGTCAAATACCTTTGCACAGTCAAGAAAACACAGGTGAGCATCTTTTTGGTATTCTCTACTTTAAGCCAAGATCAATCTGACATCACCAATGATATCCCTCATTCCATATCCTCTTCTAACTCTGGCTTGAATTTCTGGCAGTTCCCTGTCAATGTACTGCTACAATAGATTTTTTTACTGATCTTCAGCAAAATTTTACTTGTATGTGATATTAGTGATATCACTGAACAATTTCCTCATTCGGTTGGATCACTTTTCTTTGGAATGGGCACAGATAGGGATCTCTTCCAGTCGACTGGACAGGTAGCTGTACTTCCAAATTTTTTGGCACTGACTGAATGCTTCCAGTGCTGCATTTGTTTGCTGAAACATCTCAATTTGATATTCCCTCAATTCCCGGAGACTTGTTTATTGCCAATGCTGTCGGTGCAGCTTTGATGTCTTCCTTCATTACCATTGATTTTGATCATATGCTGGCTCCTGTAATGTAGTTTTAATTGTACTTATTGGCAAATTAAACTGCCACCTTCTCCAAAATAAAAATGCCTCTATCTACAAATCATCAGTGAGCACATTTCACTGCAAGGCATATGCCTTTCTCCAGTCCCCTGGTCACCCTGTGAAGACTTTAGAAATTCTAAATTGCCTCAGGAGAAACTCCCTATTCTGAACGAATGTGTATGGTCACATGTTCTGTATATATGATCAGAGAAAAGACATTTATTCCTTTGGGTAGGAAGCAAAGACCAAAAAAAAAATTTACTGCTAATTACACAACTGCTGTATGAAGAGCAGGGAATAAAGGACTTTAAGCACTTTACGCTAATTCTGTGGTTATAAAAATAATTGCTCAGTTCAAATTATTTTAAGTAAATTAATTCTTTAGTGGATATTTCAACTAGTGCTACATAATAAAATAATTGTGTAATTAGCAGTACATTTTTCAGTGCTGCCAAGACTACAGTCCCAGAAAAAAATAACAGAATGGAGTGGCCGTCAATGGCATCATGCACAGGGAAGAAAGGGAAGGTGCAGATAAAAGAAGAAAATAAAACAATAGAAAATAGCATCAAAAAGCTGCTGTACCTGGGGGAAAAAAAGAGGTAAATGAAGACAAAGTTTCTAGCCTCTTCACGTTTGCTTATTAAAGATCTATCTACATCAAAATCTCTCTCTGTATTATCTATGATTATCAGATCTAGCTCCAAAAAAGGGAGGAATTTTATTTTAAATGTATGTTAGTTTAATTTAAAAACAACAACAAAAAAACCCTTAATTTCATAGTATATACAAATAGTTTGAGTTTGTTTAAATTGAGTTTGTGTGCATTTTTTATTTTTGTGAAATTAACTTTGGTTCTTGTGTTTCACCCTCACGCTGTGGCTGGCTTATCCTGTACCAGGCAGCGTGACTGCAGACACAGACACATACAATGTAATCACTGAAAATCACATTATTATATCGCAGTTATGGGTGAAAAAACAGGCTTAGTTAAATAAGTAAGTGGCAGAGATAGGACTAAACCCAGATCTTTTTGGCTAAAAAGTCCACATTGTACTGCCTCACTCTTAACTCCTCATCTTTCATTGCCGGGAAGAGAGCATGAGGCCCCAGCAGTGTCATTTCTAGCATCTAATAATGGATGAGTAACACGTAAGTCAGAAGAGAGTCTTGAATAGTTCTAGATATTTTGTATGGTCAGAAATGTCACTTCCAGCTTTGTGGAGGGCCTTGTTCTTAACCCGAACAAATGTCTTCAGGCCCCAAAGCTGTAAGTAGGAAAGGGGCATCAAGTTTCATTAAGGTTGACACGCTTGGGTCTGAAAATAATGCCTCTGTCTAACAAGGAATACCAACAGACCCACAATCTAACCATCCTAACAACCAAAAAGCAGCAAAGGCTATTAAAATAGAAACAAACTCTACACACAGAATGCTCCGGCTGAACTGCAGCTGCCCCTGACTACACATACTGAAAGGTGGCTGAAGCACTAGCAGTAATCTGACACACATCTGTCCGAAATAACCACATTTAGGAGAGCAGAAGCACAACCAGGAGTGGCATGGAAGGGGGTGACCCCCAAGGGTTTACGCTAAAATTCCCTCTATGGAATTTTAAAGCTATGCATATGCCTTGAGAAACACAACTGGGTATGGAAAATACTGACAGGTTCTTCACTGGAGAGGCAGGAGCTTGGGACCTTCCGGCTTTCTGAGCAAAGCACATCTGTGCAAATGGGGATCACGCACTGCCTCTCCAGCGTGTTTGCAGTACCAGGCACCAGAGTCGGCCTGGGACCTTCATTGTTATACAACATAGATAAACTGTGGCAGCCACGTGTACCAAACGAGAGAGCGGGGTGGCAGGGTGTCTCCACAGTGCCACACACTCTTGAAACTGGAACATATCTTATTGGCTTGGGCTAGATTATCTGCTAGAAGCTGAAGGTAAACATTAGGCATATACAAGCTGCATACATATAATGTCTCTTATGAGTCCATTAAGGCTGGGTGACACTGTATTTCAACATCCAAATAATCAGAGATTTTAAAATAGACTTTCATTCCGGCTAAAGTTTTCAATAAATGTTTTTTTTATTGTTATTTATAACCTGTCCCAGGAAAAAATAATAAGTATAACATGAAAAGCCAACTGAGAGTGACCCCGTAGCACCAGCAGTGAGGCAGCTTAATATCACTGGGATTTGCATCCTATCAAGCTATTCATGCTGAGGCTGGGACCCTGGTGCTAATTTCTAGTAAATTTCACGCTTGATGTCTCCCTGTTGTGGGTCATTGCCGGTTCGTCTAAATAAACTGCTTCCAAATGGCTCTTCCATCTAAATATTCAGCCAGTTTTTATAATTTAATTTTGCATTATGCTGAATAGCCTTCCGGCCAGATAGAACTCACTGGAAAAAAGCACCAATGCCATCTTGACATGCTTTTATTTATTTATTTATATTTTTACTGCTCGAATTAGACCTCCTAGGCTGACTAGTAAAGAGTTTTTTTTTTCCCCCCTTCCACTAATGTCAATTTTCAGCATAGCAAGAGCTGTCTCTAATCTTTTCCTACTCATTACACACAATTTTGGAGTCATTTTACCCACAGTGCAGTCGGCTCCTAGCTGTGTGTTTGTGTGCACTGAGGGATGGCATAATTGTTTATTTTCCCTCCCCGCATAATCCCCAGCCAGTACTGAAACCAAAACTGCAAACATCTCCCCAAGGGATGTTGAGAATGACAAGAGGCTCTCAGCTTAGGTCCTTTTACATGAGATAATATGTAGAAAACATCTTGACCTATATGTAAATATGAAAGGCACTGTTCTTCCCCCTCCTACTTCTTCACTGATCTCCACACTCCTAAAGCTTATGTATCAAGTATGCATCAGCAGCAAAATTCAGAAATAGAACTGGGCCTAGTCTATACCAGGCCAGTAACTCATGTCAGAGCTCCTGAAGTTTCTTGTGACAATAACCAAGGACAATCCCAAAGCAGAGGGGAGGCAGGTAAATAATAACTTTCTAAGGACACAGACATTTTATTCTGGGGAGATTCTAGTAGAATCTAGTGCTACAGGAAGTCACAAAGATCTAGGTTCCTGTCCCAACTCTGTCATTTCTTAGCTGAATGATCTTGGAAAATTTACTTAACCTAAGCTTCAATTTATGTAGAATCCAAACAACAACACAGAGGTGCTTGTTATGATTATTTAGGAGCTCTGGTGGTATAATGCCTAAGGCATGTGACTGCTGACCAGAAAGTTGGCAGTTCAAACCCACCAGCCACTCCTCAGAAGGAAGACTGGGCACTTTAATTCCATAGAGATACTGCCTCGACGGCAGTGAGTTTGGGTTTTGGTTTGTTAAGATTATCTAAGTAGTGCATATAAAATGGTTAGCAGAGTTTCTGGTAAAAAGAGCTCAATGAATCTTAACTGTTGTTCTTATTGTTATAGAGCTAGCAGCCAATCTGGGCCTGAGCCAAAATATACTGCAGAATTAAAGCTTTTTCTAGAAGCAGCAGCACATCAGGAATTTTGAACCCCGAACTCCAGATGGGCTGATTTACTCCTTAAGTAATGCCAATGGCTCTCCAGCAGAGAGGTAACCAAGGAGTAATATATCATTGTATTCTTTCCCAGGTCTTAATGGGGATTGTACAATTAGGGAATTTGGGATCAAGTGCACTCTGATGCTAAATGAACCTCATACATACAAATAAAAGGGGCTGACCAGTCTACCAACTTCTATCTAGTGTCATCCTCTTTTGAACCCCCAGATATTTTGTTTATACTTTATATATTAAGGCTTTATAATTCTGCCCAGGACATGCTTTTTAACTTCTTGAGGCAATATCTGTTGCTGATTTATTTTTGTTTTCTCTGAAGTGCTGAGCATAGTTCCCTGAACATGGAACTCAGTAAATGTGAGTAGGACCACCTTGTTTAACCTGTACCTCAACTTCTCTGGTATCTTTACTGATTTATTATCTTAGTCAAAAATAATTTACCTTGGTAGTGTAAAAAAAACATACCAACATTAATTTGCAAGTATAGTCCAAATCTCCCTCAAGAAAAGTGCAAAACTTGGTAAGTCTTCTAGCACATAAAAGCAAAAGGGAATTTTTCAACTGAAACAAAACAAAACACCAACACCACACTAGTCTTCTACATTTTGTCATGGAGGTCTGGCTATGCAGAGCTCTTCCTATTCAGGCAAGGGCAGGTTGGTGCCATAAATCTCTCATATGTTTCTACACATAGCTACAGAAGGGGAGCTTCCTTCAGCTTTTCCTCCTTCTGAGGCCACCGAGGCTCCTGCCTCTAACTATTTTTGGATGCCTTATTGAAAGTACATTATTTCACATTTGCGAGGGTCTCAAATGTGTATCTGGTTCTATCCTAGGTCACCTTCTGATCACTCTACTCCAGCAATATCAACCATCCCTGCCTTCCATTCCATTCTGTAACCCACGCTACCACTTCAGAATTCTGAGTTCTTCCTGGATGAACAAGGTTCATACTCTGCCTACTCTAATACCTTCCTGGGATGTAGTCTCTAGCCTTAAACACCATGACTCTCTGGCCATTGGAAACAGAGCTTCACTCCTGTGAGAGGAGTGGGGAATTGAATTTCCCTTGGCTGTCCCTGTAATGTCCACAGTGGCTCTGCACATGGAGGATTCTCAGTAAATGGTGAAGCTGGCTGCCTAATCATTAAGTAATTCCCACAGTACAGAGGAAAGCCTTTATAATATGGTCTAATATGCTGGAGCCACAAGCCCAGGGCTGTTGTTGGATAATAATAACACACATCACAAACCGTCACTAGGAACAGCTTCTAGCACAGAATTTGTTCATGTTTTCCCTCCAATAAATGCTAATTTCACTATCTATCTTGGTCATTACAGAACGTTAACAAATAATATCAACAAATACTATGCCTAGAAAAGAGAGAGAGATAAGCACAGTTATATTTCCCTAGTACCACCAGGACGGTCCATCATCCACCTGTGAAAATTAAATCCACAACAGCAGTAGACATAGGTAACACAGTAGACTGTTCTGAAAGTTTGTATGGAGCTGTAAAACACTGAATTTTCCCATTTAAACTGCAACTCAGAAGTTATCTCAGAGGGAGTATAATCTCTAAGATCTCTGAGATGCCTATGGTGGCGGGTTGTCAGGACACATATAAGCTCTGCCCAGTCTTAGCCTCTGTGTCTCCCCACCCTCTACTATGGAGTACCCTGAAGTCAGTGAGGTTTGTCCAGAACACAGAGCTGGTCAATCACCTTTCATCCCACCAGAGAAGCCTCTCCAGTTGGCAAAGACCATCAGAGGCAGCCCTTCACGGGTGAAATCTTTGATAGCCTGGTAAGTCTTAAATGCAGAGTCTGGGAACCAAACCTGGCCAGCCTGCTGGATTATCTATGAGAGAAAGTCAGAGGAAGGTACAATTAACAACATAGTTTGAAGGGGAATCACTTCAGGTAAACACAGTTTTTACTGATTGAAAATTCAAACCCAAACCCAACAAACAAAAACTGTCATTAATGAAGATTATTTTGAAGTAAAAAAGATCTTTGACTTGTCAAATACTTCTTTTTAAAGTTCTGATTACACCACCACTCTTTAGTCAAAAAGGGGAAACCTTAGTGCTTATAATGGAAGAATACAGTGCTAGAAACCCTCATTCTAGGCTTCTCAAAGGCAACTTTAAATGACTCAATTACACTGCTCCTCAAAGCAAACCAAATGTATTCTTGTCTCAAAGTGTATTCTTTTTCTCAAAATCTTTCTCACCACTCTGCTTTGTACAACTATTCCATACTGTGGTTAATCAACAGATCTTTTGTCTAGATGTGAAAACCTAATCTACCCTTTAAAAAAAGACAGACTATGGTTTGTACCTGGAGTTAGGACAGGTTTCATTATTAATTCTAGTTGTAGCTTTCCCATGTGCATACTCACAGAATCTGGGTCCCAAAACCCCTCAGCATCATCTCAGCTGTCTTTCTCTAAAACTACCTCCCCAACAGAAGGCTATTGTCTAGCATCTGCTAGATCACTGTAAAGGTATTTTTACAGATTTAGCTTGCGATCCATCTTTAAAGAAAAAGGGGGTAAAAAAAGAATCCGCTGTCATCAAGTCGATTCTGACTCATGGTAACCCCACGTACATCACTTTAAAAGTGAGTACACGATCGTCTGAAACCACTGAAGGCTGCTGCCTGCCCTTCCCTCTAAACCGCTGGTCTGCAGTACCCCAGTACACCGACAGGCTCTACAGAAGGGAAACACAGCTCCACGCACGGCACACAGTGCAATCGTGGTGACCTACCTTGGCTTCAGAATCCAGGTTTGCAGGATCAGCTGGGATACTTAGTTCCACTGTTCGGGTTTCTACGGCAACTACACCCACAGGTATTCCTCCTAGCCTGATAAAAAATGAGGCAAATAAGAACCCAAAATACATCAACATGACAGCCACCATTTACTTTCCAATTCCTTATCAAAACACCGGAAAAGAAACTGGAAAACAAAGAAAGCAAAGGGAATCTAACTTTTCTAGGGGTTAAATGTGAGACTCTATGGATTTGGTACTCTGTAAATATGGTGGGAACCATTCTCAGAATCAATCCCATTCTGAAATGCTCTATCCATAGGATTATCATTTAAACTCAACAGCTTAGTACGTACATGTATCTCTTTGGTTGCCAAAGAAAATTTCTCAGTTTACTCTAGAAGATCTCTTTGCTGGAGAAGGAGGAAAACAGTCTGAAAAGGTAGTAGGAACTTGAAGACAATGAGTAACTGTTTTAATGTGCTTTGGCCTTGTTGGAATAGAGATGTGGTTTTCTACGGATATTAATAATAAGGTACCAGGTATGATGTGAGAAAAAGCATAGAGAATGAGGGAGGGGGTAAGCAAGCACGAGAGATCGAGAGAGAGAGAGAAAATGCTGCAAGGTACAGGGAGAGTTCTCACTCCTGAAAATATGATTCAATCTTAACTTTCTCAGCCTCATTCCTTGGGGTGAGGGCTGGGATGTGTTATAGTCTTTCATTCCACACAACATCTCCATAACAAAACTTTTCCATGAAGGATGGTCTTTGGTTGTTACGTTTGCTACTGGAAATGGATTCTTGTCATCACAAGAGACCTGATAGGGGTCTGAGTGGGGACCACCCACCCCCTTGTCACTTGCCTGCACTGAATCAGAATCAAAAGCCCTCTAGACAACCAGACAACGAGCAGGAGGTACACAAGAGGATTTAGAAATATTTCTGTTCACAATGATTAACAATCCAACTGCAAACTTGTAATTGCAAAAGCCACCCTAAATCGGTAACTTATAACTTATATATTAGGGCCCATGTGACCTAATAAAGAACATCTTTATCCGAGTATTACAGTTATTTATTGAACTTGAAAACAGCTCAGAACAACTTCTGTTTTCTATTATACTTCATATAAATTTTATCAGGCTAGCACATGAAGATGCTACATCTTGTTTTATAGTGTGTCCCTGGACAAGGTGCCATGGAATAATAAAAGACAATTTACAGCCAATAGCACACATATTCCAAACATACATACCAAAGATGAGTTTTGGCAGCACTTACAGTAACAATCCCAGAAGAATACATTTATATTTATTTTTTGAAATGCCACTGCTTTCCAAAGCAGCTAGCTCCATTTGTGTTTTATATAGTTGTGAGCATGTATATGTGTTTGGAGTAAGGAGCACAGAACTCATCAGATGGAAAGAAAGGAAGAAGTCACGGTGAGTGTTGTTATAAACAATGGTGGTGCTAACCAAAGCCAAGCTTGACTGATCCTGGTTGCAGAACAATCCCCATTCCTCCAATCGCAAGTGTAAAGCATGAGTCTCTGATTTCCCATGGGAGGGCCTTAAAGACCTTAAAAAGGTTTGACTTTCTGAGGCTTAAAACCTCTCATTTTTTTTATAGACAGGAAAACTGAAATAGAATAGATAAGAGACAATTCTTAAGAAGTTGATATTAGTGTGTGATGTGAGGATTCTTTATAACAAATAAGTCCTGGGTAGGAGGGTTCTCTCTCTAGCTCAACCCACCTTGACCTCCCTAGTGTATGTATTTTTCCAGGCTCAAAAAGTGACCCTCCCTGGGAGCCAGAAGCCTGTGGGTAGCTAGTCCCTGTGAGATTCAGTCAAAGCTAAAAGCAGGCCCGACTCCTATTCAGAGTCACAGTGGAAGCTCTTGTCTGTGGGATTTGCCATTTGATGGCTCCTTGTCACTGGTAGCATGAGGCGTGCTGACCTGCTGTACTGAAAGAACCACAAAGCCTAGAATTATTTCCAAGGCTAGAATCTAAATCTCAACCCAATGTGGCATGTTTGAGAATCTTGAGCAGGTGCCACTTTTCACCAAGATAAGGAAAACTGATCACCCCCGAGAGGAAGGTGAGCTCCAGATGCAGGTCCCTAGGGCAGCGCGTCTCTGCAGTGCAGAACTAGATTAAGATCAGTCTTGGCAGGTGCTCGTTATAGCCAGTGCTACAGATTATTTCGTACAAAGCTTGCTGTTGAGTGAAGCACTTCTTAGAGTGGGTATTAAAATTTAATAGAAACTTCAATTCCCCACTAGAAAAATATGGGTATCCCAACAACCTATTCCAGCTTATTTCACTCACTCTTCTTTCAGGTAAACTTTTATTTATTTACTTTTTTAGGCAATAGCCAACACAGTGCATTTGTCACTTAAATAATCTCAATGTCATGAAGGGACTTCTCTCAGGTTACAAACAGAAGATGAGTCTGTGATCCACTTGTCACCTGCTTCTCAAAGAAACTGATCTTTGGGGGAGGGGGAGTCATTGGTGGCCTGTGAATGTTGCAGTTGGACTTTATAGCTCCCAAAGGGCTTTTGTTTCATCATTATATAAAGTGTCAAAATCAGCCTTCAGAACAAACATGTCACTAAATGACTACTGGGAACCAGTGCCCCAGCATAACTGGACTTGTCTGTAATCCAGTAGCATTAGGAAGTTTAGATAAAGAGAACATTATTGGTGAAAAACTATACAGCAATGGCCCCTGCCTTTCTTATTTTTAGTTGAGAGGAAAAAGAACTTCCAAAACGAAGTCTTACCTGGCTCTGCCAACTACCACAGTCTGTGCCCAGGGTTGCATAATCTCTGAGAAAGATCCATAGTCAAAAAACCCACTCAACCACTGGCCTTTCTGGGCTACAGAAGGGATAGAAAGGAAGCAAAGAAGGATAAAGACAATCAATCTGTTGAAAATGCACAGGAACTGAAAAATCTGGGGTTGGATTTGGGGGCTACTTTGGGGGTACTGTTGTTTCTTGTAACCGTATTATAACAGATGGAAGCATCAGGCAGCTGAGTGTTCGTCTGCCTTCAGACATCATCTCCTATTTCATTTGCTAGTCTGCATAAAAAGAATCATTTATCAGCAAAAGCATCATTTATTGTTAAACGATGGGGTTCGGCTACCAGAGGGAGTTTGCATGCTTTTAAATAAATAACTGTTTTTTTTTCCAAGATACTGCAAACATTTGTCAAAAGGCAGCCAAGTCATTAAAGATGTTTTCAAAATGTCTATTTCTGTTTTAAAACTTAGCTTACAATCTTCTGTTTGATTCCACTGATTTTCTTTTAATGGAAAGATGAAAATAGCCAAACAGTAAGTGTTAATGATCAGACGAGGACCCAAATTTGAAGAAAGGAAAAGGATATATTCGCTTTATTTACTGCTGACAAAGAAGAATTTTTCTACAAGACCATGCCAACTTATTCTTAACAGACAGTAAAAAATAAAATGATTAAGATACAGATACTTAATGGCATTAACCTCCCTTGCACACAGAATTTCCTTCACTAAGACACAGAACTTTTCAACATCTTAGTCTAAGAAAAGACTTCGGTTCTACAGGTATCCGTGTTTGACCAAGGCCTCATAAAAGCTTCTGCAAATAACTGTTTCCTAGCTTGCCCCTCAGCTCACTTTCTCAGTGATTCTTCTAATCTGAACATGGCCCTCCGCCCCCTAAAAACCCAAGTCCAAAACCAATTAAAAGTGGAGATCCGAGCAAGCTAACCTCTGCTGACTTAAACAGGATGAAGAGTGTTTTATCAAGACTAAACTTGTAATTACTGTGTTCTACATTCTTTGCCTCTATGGCCCCAGTGTAAAATGTGATCATCCATTTCAAAATTATCTCTCTATCGTGAGCCCAAAGCCGATCGTTTAGATTCTGGTCTCGTGTTGAGCGTCAGTTTGAAGAATATCACAGCACTATCTCCTCTAATAAATGACTTTAACTTTTCACCTAGAAGATATCTGCTTTAACTTATCACAGGGAAGCATCTGCTTTCCTTAGCGCTTCCACTAAATTAACATCTGAAGTCACTCGATTTGGGAGCGAGTGTTAGCTACACATGGACAGCTGGATGAATTACTAGGAAGTCAATGAAAAAATATTATTCAAAAAACAGAAAACTTAGTTTATCACAAGTTTCATTTTATTTTGTGGATCTCATTAATAATGGCCAGAATAATGCCCAACTACACACAGCTGTTCAACACCTGAAAGGCTCAAATTCTGATGAAACATCCAAGTCCATCAAAATATTGAAAATTCATATGCTTAGTTCATTGTACGATTCCTACTTCAATCAATAATGATGATTTGGGACTACAGAGTTCATTTGGAACTATCTGTCCTTTAAAAACTTTCCTGCCTTATTGTTGATTGGGGGAGGGAAGTATCACTGGTGGGCTATGGCTATTGCAGTTGGGCTTTACAGTCACCAAAAACCAGAAACCAAGGAGTCAGACCCGACTCATAGCGACCCCTCCTTGGGTTTCCGAGTATCACTATGGAATTAGATTGCCCAAACTTCCTCCCAAGGAGTGGGTGGTGGGTTTGAACCGCCAGCCTTCTGGTTAGCAGTCAGATGCCTTAGGCACACTACGCCACCAGCGCTCCACAGTCATGAAAATGCAGGCAGGCCATATACATCTCTGACAGAGAACTTAGAAGCCAGCTAAGATGGTTCCCCATCCTTCCCACAACACTCACTGAATCTTGTTCTGATTTTAAGAGACCCAACTTCACCCCCAGAAATCCTGGATTTTAAGGCTGACACCATAGTTCGTATTATAATCATGGTACAAATATGAGAGGTCAGGAGATTACTATCATAATTTTTCTGGTTGTGATTAACAAATTAAAATTAAGAAATTAAAATTAGTTTTATTGTGATTAACAAGAAAAGGCATTGAAAGTAACAGGCAAAATTTAAATTAAAACTAACATCTCTCTTGTGATTTTTCTATAATATCTATAGTAGGCTTCAGATTAAGACCCTATTTATCTATTTATCTCTGCATGGTAGTGAAGGTCAGATAAGGTAATGTATATGAAGTGCTTTATAGTTCCACCAGGTTTAGAGTGGGTACCCACAAGTTTACTAAGACCTCCTTATGAAGACCTTTTTCTCTTTTGACAAAATCACAAGGACTCTTCAGTTTGGTGAAATGACATCTTCTGCATTCTATTCTTTTATACATAGCTTTTCTTTGAAACAGTTGCAATAAACATGCAAATAAAACAAAACAAAAGACACTTCCTTACACAACCTGAAATAATAGATTCAAAATGTTGTTGTTGTTAGGTGCCGTCAAGTCGTTTCCGACTCACAGCGACCCCATGTACAGCAGAATGAAACACCGCCTGATCCCACGCCAGCTCCATGATCCCTGCTATAATTAAGCCTGTCATCGCAGCCACCGTGTCAATCCATCTCGTTGAAGGCCACCCCCTCTTTCATCGACCCTCTACTCTACCAAGCATGACATCCTTCTCCAGGGAATGGTCCCTTCTGACAACACGACCAAAATAGGTGAGACGAAGTCTGGCCATTCTCGCTTCCAAGGAGCATTTCAGGTGCACTTCCTCCAGGACAGATCTGTTAGTTCTTTTAACAGTCCATGGTACTTAGTCAGCATTCTTTGCCAACACCACAACTCAAAAGCATCAACTCTTCTTTGGTCTTCCTTATTCATTGTCCACCTCTCACATGCATGTGAAGCCACTGGAAATATCATGGCTTGTGTCAGGTGCACCTTAGTCCTCAAGGAGACATCCCTGCTCCTCAGCACTTGAAACAGTTCCTTCACAGTTGACCTTCCCAATGCTACACGCTGTCTAAAGTCCTGACTGCTGCTTCCATTGGCATCAATTGTAGAACCAAGCAATGTGAGGTCATTGACAACCTCAATCTTCCCTCCATTTATTGTGATGCTGCTCATTGGTCCAGTTGTGAGGATTTTTCTTTTCTTTATATTGAAACGTTAACCATACTGCAGACTGTATTCTTCAACCTTCATCAGTAAGTACCTCAAGTCATCCTCACTTTCAGCAAGCAAAGTTGTATTGTCTGCATATCTCAGGTTGTTAATGATTCTTTCTCCAATCCTGATGCCGCATTTTTCTTCATATAGTCCAGCTTCTTGGATTATTTGCTCAGCATATAATCCTGACGCACTCCCTTCTTGATTTAAAACCATGTAGTGTTCCCTTGTCCCGTTTGAATGACAGCCTCCTGGTCAAGGTACAGGTTCCTCATGAGTACAATCAAGTGTTCGGGAATTCCCATTCTTCTCAACGTTATCCATAATTTGTCATGATCCACACAGTCAAATGCCTTTGCATAGTCAATGAAACACAAGTAAACATCTTTCTGGTATTCTTTGCCCTGAGCCAAGATCCATCTGACAATGGCTATGATATCCCTTGTTCCATGTCCTCTTCTGAATCCAGCTTGCACCTCTGGAAGTTCTCTGTCAATATACTGCTGCAAATGTTTTTGAATTATCTTCAGTAAGATCTTACTTGCATGTGA